TAATCTAACTACTGAATGACAGAGCTGATAACTTTTTCATGGTTGTGGCCTAGATTGCATTGATTATTTTAATAGATAAACCAATGAATTTCTTTTAGCTGAGTGATGCACAAGAATTGATACCATAGAGAAATTAAATAAAGAAAAAACGGTCTTTCTATAAGCTCAAAATTAAACAAAACAGTAACTTCAGTGTCAGTACTGTAAAAAAAAAAATAATCTCTTGTCAATTTTAGTTCAACTGTAATGAAGTAGTTGTTGGACAACATGTGGTCCTGGTGCTGCCTGGTTTGGGGTTACATATACAAGAAACGCAAACATATGGTCCTTGTCATGCAATGATATCCATGCAGGCGTATTTTTGCCTATGTGAAGAGCTCTGCTTGCTTCAGAAAAGCTCTTGATGCAGGCACTAGTCTCTGTGCAAGTGGCATGCTGAGGTATCTCAGACTAAATGACTAAACTGAGAAGTTTAAATAAAAATAGGCATTTGCTTTTTCCCCTCTGTACAGCCCCGGGTAGTAAAATAAAGCCATACACAGAACACTCACTAACCCACATGAACTGTATCCTCCAAACTTTTCTTCTTTTTTTAAGCAAACTGATTATATTCCAGGAATTTGATTTCTACAAATTGTTGATGTGAAGGCACTGCGGGCTAAACAATATAAAAGAAGAAAATTGAGGAAAAAAGTTTGTCTTTCTGGCCATATGCTAGCATATAAACCATAAAAGTGACAAACACACAAATATGCCACAATGGAAAACTATGTGCTGATCCCACGCAATAAATTGAAAAAGCAACATGCTGTATGGTACTGTTTAACAATAGTGCAAAAATAACTGTAGGAAACTCTGGCTAAGATGGACCACAGACAGTTTTGGAAGGGATGATGCATCAATAGACAAACTACAAGTAGAACAAATGAATTATCTTAAGCCTACTGAAAACAGGAAACCAAGGATACTTGTATTTTCAAATGACATTTATTATCACTCTCCCCCTGTTTAAGCAGAAAACATAGCTAAATTTAACCAAATATTTTTCAATAAACACAACCATTTTATTATGTTCACATTTATTTGCTGGAAATATCAAGAGAAACATTAACTAGATTTTTTTTTTTCCATCTAAGCCACTTTTTCCACTCGATTTTCCATATAAAGAAACAATAATCTGTTCCACAAAGCAATAGAACTATTAAAGCTGGGTTTTCTATGGTCACTTCTCATCCTCCCATGGCACCTCATTACCTTTATCATGTAAAGGACAGCAGTGAATGCAGTGGTTTATCCTGAGCTACGCACACATTAACTGGGCTGTAGGCTGCTGCTGGTGGAGAGAAAAGGTACCAATTGAGTCCTGTCCATCTCTTCCTCAGTGAGGCACTTATATCAGTACCATATCCGGACACCAGTAATTATGCAACTCAGAAAACATAATTACTTTGAAACTTCAATCTCCTTTGCAAACAGGTTTACAAATACTAAAGTCACTGCAGGGAGATGTACAGACCAACGGGGTGAACCTCACATCCTTAGAAAACTAGACTAGATGTGAAGTGCAATCAGGAAAGGAGTAGACTGAATGCCTTCAGAGGAGGCTAGAACTTTCTCCTTGAACTTTATTTCAGAAATTAGGGGAATATTACAAAGAACTGACAGTCACAGAAAACAAACAAACAAAACCAAAACAAAACACAAAGCAAAAGAAAAAGTTAAAAATCCTATCCTTGAGATGACTCAAGTCTGAGATGAATGAACGGCTCCACTCATCAGTTAGGGAAAGGTACAGTACCAACCCCACACCATGTATGTATAGCGCGTAGCATTGTTTTTAGAGATAAGCAACTGCATCACAGTTACAGGAATCAACAAATGTAGATATAGATGAAGTGAATACAGATTCTGACTTTCACAAACTTTAGCTTGCATTGTCATACTTCTTCAGTGTATTTCAGTGAAAATATTGTCCAGCTGCATCATATTTCCTCAGGAGAGGAATAATCAAGTCAGACATGTACTGGAGCGGAGAGGTTCTGTTGTTTAAGATCTTCTCTTAAGACCAAAGGAATCAAGCTTATTTTTTTTTTCTCTCTTATTTTGCCATTCCTATTGTGTCAAACAAAAAACCAACCACCAAACCCATAAATGAAGTCTCACTTGGTTTCCTCAAATACTGCCAGAGAAGCACCAATTCCCAAGCCACCGTTCTGCACTCAATTGTTTCCATGAACTCAGTGCACTCTCTTTTCCTCCAGAAAAGGAAGGTACATTATAGCCAAAATCTAAGTGTGGAATGACAGACTGCCACCACACGCTTCCCCACATCAGACCTTAGTAACACCAGCAAGATATATGTGAATTTTAGTATCCCTATCAATAAGAAAATTTGCTCACTAATTTTAAAATATTTCCATGTAACAGGTCACACATCCAAAATACTAATTGAAAAATGGAACAAGAAAATATTCCAGTATGTGTTCCAGACCACTCTAGATCTTAAAACTACTGATCCAAACACAAAAAAGGGAAACCCAATTCTCCTGAATCCCCCTTCTGAACTCTGACACAGACCTTTGCTGTGGCATTGGACAAGAAAGCAAACACCTTGTCTGCATCTGCAAGCCTGCCTAAACAATGCTGTAATTTATTCATCCTCTAAAATATATCACAGGTAATAATCCTTTATCCACAAATATCTCAAGTTTGGGGAAAAGAGCTTGTTTCAGCCAGTTTGTCATAGGCATGAAATAGGCAATATCAAGCAAGATGAGAAATCCAAAAATAATATTTAGTGCGGAATGGAAAAACTGCTGTTATATAACATAAAAAGTCCAATGTAGTCATGCTTTAATATTTTCCAAAAGCTAAATCGTGTTATTCTGAGAATACCTTTAGCATCATACCCTCCTGGTCAAAGACTGATTTAGTTTCTTGCGATGTCACAAGAAGAAAAATGGCCTAGGTATGGAATATGCAAAATATAAACGTGCTAAATTCTGAAACAGATTTTTCTCATCACCTACTTCATTTAAAAACAGTTCTTTGAAAGTAGTTAACTAAGCCTTTTACACACACTTTTATAAACTGAAGTCTCAAACCTGATATCAATTTTAGAGCCATTACATGTTACGTATTAGTTCTTTTTATTTCAGAGGGACAATCAGTATGCATAAAGCTAAACATGTGTCTAATTGTTTTGCAGGGTTACAGCCCATGTTAAGCAAGTCCTAGAGATAAGGACACATACAAGGTTTGGGTTGTGCTGCCAGTACATCTCTGAGACCAAAAAGGACAATTGTTCCCAGTGATAAGAACTTCATGGCTATTTAGAAGGTGATTCAGTCGCAACAAAATCCAGTGGAGGACATCTGTTCACTTAACCTCATACCTCACGGAGAGACTTTTTTATTTGCTTGTTTCTGCTATAACTGTCAGGTGCCCATTGATCTAAGTTATGGTCACATGTGTCATTTTGCAGGCATGACAAAGCATCTTCAAAAGTTAATTAACAGCTACACTGAGCTTCTTCATCACAGGCAAAAATGTAAATGTTCTATTCCATGGTGGTACTGAATTACATCATGTCCTCAGTGAGGGTCCAGAGCAGAGGGATTCAAAAATCTCTCTTAAGCTACTTTGCTGAGAGGAGCATGGTTTTGTAGACACCCTTCAAAACCCATTGAGAAAGACTGAAAATGCCCAGAGATCAGAATTTTCCCCTGGAGAACCCTATTTCTTTTCACTGACTGCAGAGGTAGCCCAGCATAACTAATCTCCTGTCTTAGGCACCCTGAACAAGAACCTAAAGCCAAGAAGATGGGTCAAGATCCTGCAAGAGAACCTAACAAATAGGAACAGGTCTTTGGCAGTCTTCCCACATGAGCTGGTGTAAAGTACTTGGGCTGTCTATGTTTCAATTCTGTGTGTGTGAAAAAAGGATAACATTACTGCCCCAACTCACAAGGGCACAATAAACACATTAATGATTATTATGCCCTCTGAAAATATGGTAATGAAGGTTGTAAGTATAAGCACCATCATTAGAAATGTTTCTATGCATTTATTTTCACTTACCAGCTCTCTCTGTTTTGCAGAGCTTCCTTACACAGTGATCTTGTGGCAGAACTTGGAATGACCCTCAACACGTGCCAAGCGGAAGCTTTAGAGCATTTGTGAGAAAGGGCTCATCTGATGCACGTTCGTAGTAACATAGATGTGATTCTGCTTGGTGGGAGCAATCCCCCCTTAGCTGACATCCACCCAAGATGATGACAGATGCTTCTGGTTTTATTTCTTTAATTATGTTTCACATGCACTGTAATTTCTTAGAGTCTCTTCAATCGCTAACTTCCATTACCACCTCCATTCCCTGACAGGTCCCCTTGGCACAACAAATATAACTTCAAAAGAGGGCACAAGGGACATCAACCCCAGTGTGAAAAAGCCTTCTGTAATGACCTTGTAGCATATCCCACTCAGCTTCAGTAGATGAGTGCACCAAGCAGGAACAGAGAGTCTGCTCCCTGGCCCCAGAAAACAACTCTGGAAAAGCCTTACAACCATGCCATTTTCCACCTCACTCTTCCTGCAACATTTCACATAAGGGAGAACGCTGTACCACAGTGCCATCGCTTTTTCTCATTAGGCATTTAAAAGCAAAAAGGTTACAATTAAAATCCTTCAAAAAGGATATTTTTAGTTAACTCTGACATAGAGCAGGAGCTAAAAACAGGTTCCCCTATCCCAAGAACCCCTTCTCTGATTTCATCTTAAAGCTGAAAATCACAGTATTTGACATAGGGTGCATAAAGAGCTTCAAGATGCAGAGTACGTTGATGAGAAAGTGAGAAAGACAAGGAAAATGGCAAATATTCAGGGCAAATACTCAGGACTACAAGAACAGGCACATAAAACTCTGGTGAAAAAGAATTGGTTTACAGCTAAAAGCACAGAGGTAACCTTGACTGGGGGCAAAACAATAATGTGAACATTACCTTAGAAATTCACACCCTAGTCATTCATTCGAAAGCTCTCTTCAAAGCAGCTGGTCCAGACTCTGAAAATTAAAAAAATAATAAAAATATAATTAAGACAAATACATTTATTATTATAATAATTCTGGAACATCTCATAATAAGAGTTAATAGAAAGATAATCTTCCCCTTCATGTAGCCCCATGCCTGCCCAAGAAAACACGACAGATCAGCAGCAAGGACACATGGGCATTTGGAGAAGCCTAACTAGTTTAGCAAATACATTAGCAGAGGTGCATGGTTAGTTTACCAAGAGATAATTGCTTCAACCCCCCCTCCTTATATATGATAAAAAAAAAGAATTATTTAAAAATTAACGTCATTTAGAGTAATAGCTCTCCAAATGCATAGTATTTATTTCTTCTTTCATCATCCATAGTTTATGGCATTGTTTGGGATTTGGTGTGCTTTTTTTTTTCTCCCGCAGTTTACTTAGTATTAGGCTTGCACTGATCTCATCAATAAGAAATGAATTTTGGTAACTTTCAAAACCACTATATTATTTTTCCTTTTATTTGTAGTGAGTTTTTCTTCTCTCAGTGGTATTACTGCAATAAGTCAGTCATTATTTCTTTATGTTTTCCCTCCTTTCTTTAGTATTTCATTTCCCTTTACAGCACATCTCGTGATCACAAAGAAAACAGAGACACTTATTTCTTTTAACAGTTGAAATTGCTGCAAGTGATTTAACTGTCATTTAATCTGATTCCTCTCTTCTGTCTGTGGAGAAATATGTTTAATGTACTGGAAATTATGTTAATAAGAAAAAGCATTATCTCATTTAATGAAATAAATATACAAATATTTCAAAATAAAATAAAGAGGCAATCTTCACTGAGGAAAAAATGTCTCTTATGGTTTGCATAAAATAAACAAATGAGAAAAATTAATGAATACATTGAAATATACTGACAAAAATTATGCCTAAATTCAAAAGGGAAAAAAATAAAAGAGAAGGTGACTGAATTGCATCTCACCTAATCAAATGCTTTTTGAGAAAACACAGAAACAAGCTTAAAGTATCAGAGTACAAATTATTTTTTAAAATTATTTTATTACCCCAGGCTGAACTTTTTTCCCCTCCTTTAAAAAGCCATCAGTTTTTCTGCTTTTCTTTTGTTTTATTTTCTTCAGTCGGTGTTGAAATAATATTTATTGTTTAATGACTGCAATTGCTTCATCCTTTAATTATCTTTGATCCTTTGCCACAAAACATATTTAATTTATGGCAAAGAACTTTGAACCCCTCTTATTTAGTTAATCATAACAGTCAATAACTCTATTTCTAGGCTTTTACATTATGAAGTATGTAACTAGCATGCACTAAGGTTAAACAAATATTGTTAGTGGTGAGAGAAAAACTTGTAGCAATTATGTAATAAAAGCATGACCACTGCAACAGAAACACATAATTAGCGATTTAATTACAGACATCAAAACAAACTAAAGATGTCAATAAAAAAAAATCTTCTGTGACAAACTGATTTCATTTCCCTGTTCTGCAATTCTAGATCTTAATGTATTTCTTTATGTTTTCTTGTTTTCCAGAAATAAACAGCACAAAACAAAAGGAAGATATTCGGTGTCATCTGTTCATGTGCAACTGTGGTAGAAATTTGATTAAATCCGGGGTTTACTTTCTCACTGGCAAGAATTAGTGCCTTAAATCCACCCAACAGTGGATATTTTTTAACTCTTCTTTACAGAGAACCAGCAGTGATGAGTATGCTGTGTTGCAAATTCATTTGGGGAGTTTCAGTCATTTGTGTCACATACCTTCTCAAGGCATTTTTTAAGTGCACTAGTTTCTCTCTTTGATTGCCCCCTCCTTACAAAGTGCTATGGATCATAACAGCTCCAGCTCAGTCACTCCTGCTACCGAGAATAACTAGCAAGAGCATGACGTGTAAAGATCTCGAGTTACTCTCTTACTTGAAATACATAGTTTTACTTTCCTACAGTTCTCCTTTTGGTTTATACACTTCCAAATTGAACTTGAGCAGGACAGAAGCTATGCAGTGAATGTTTTGGGTTAGTATTAAACGGGTCGCCTTTCATTTTAAAAAGTATCTAAAAATCCCACTGAAGTCAGTAACAAAACTTGCATCAATTCAGATTTCAACCTGTGTTTCCAGGAGCTCTCTTATTCCTAGCCTACTTCTTTTAGAGTTTTAAGATATTCTTTTCCTCCTGAAATATGCGTAGGGAAAACCACAAATTTTGATATGCCACTCCTCACAGAGGTCCTCCATCTTGAGGTCCTACACCTGATTCTTCTTGATCGGATGCTTAAACTGCTTGTAATCGTTATATTATATACAAAGCAAATCATACAGAAAGTGGTTGCTCTGAAGTATAGATTACAATTTTGTGTGAAACAAGTAATCCATTTAAACAAATTTAGAATCACTGATTTTATACATATCTATATATGTATATACACACTTTTATGCAAAACCAGACTGTACAAATACCGGGATTTGGTTTTAATCATGTACTTTCTTTTTCTGCTAAATTTCAGTTCTACAGAAAATATTCCCTACAGCTTTTGGGATCAGGGTTAACAGAGGTATTCAGGAGAGGATAACCTTATATATTCATGGCTTTATTTTTCTAATTTGGGGTTTACAGGGCATTTAAAAACAAAAACCATTGTATTTCTTTTATAACTGGAGTGAAGAATGTTCGGCAGTACAAATGAATTAGGAAATTACTCTCCTGCCGTGAAAAAACATTACGCTGTTAACATGCAGATATGCTCGTGAAAAAAAAAAAAAAAAAAACAAAAAACACAAACAAACAAACAAACAAACAAACAAAAATAACCACACTAATTCAGTAAGATGAGAAAGTAGGAGGTTTAGTATAAAACCCTCTCTACTTCAGTAATGTGAATGTCAATAACTGACAGCGATAACTTGCCCTACAAAGACTCAACACACCTTGAGAACCCAAACACAAAATGCAGAGAAGATCTTTGATTCACAGGAGCAGTACGGATGCGTCTCACCAGGCCTTGATTTAGTAGTTATAAATCATCACGCTTCACTGACGCAAGGGTTGGACCTCTGTCAGAGATGTATCCATGAGCCTGCTCTGGACAGGCTTGCTGAGTAAAACCTTCGAAAGGAGACAGACCTCCCCCTTCAAAAAAGCCTACTTAAAGAGTTTGCCTCAAGTTGGAAAGAGCAGAGCAGCAAAATGCTCTTGCACATTGGGGGCAACACAGCGAGGGGGTGTTTCAGAGGCCCCACCTGCACTGTGCCAAAAGTGGCTCCAGTCTCCAAAGCCCTCTAGATTAGACCCACTTGGCAAATCAAAAAATTATAATAATCCCATATATTCCTGTTGTAATAATACTTAAGGGAGTTGGATCAAAACACTGGAAGTACTGACATTTTTTATTCCAATGGCTTTTGAGTGATCAAAAGACTATTGTCATGAGCAAACCATCTTGTCGAGTTACAAAGAAAGAAACCCCAAAATCTCTCTTAAAAAAGGCATCTGTTTTGAAGCAGAGCAGTTTAAACTTGCATCTAAAAATATCTGCAAGCTCTGACACAAACCTGAATTTTTTCCCATTCAAGATTTTGAAAGACATCCTTTTTGAAAAAGGATACTTCTAATGTGAAAGCTTAATTTTTTTAAGCAAAATCAAGTAAACCAAAGTTCCTAAAATCAACACCTCTTTTCTGGTTTTCTTTTGGCTTCTTTTTTTTTTATTAAAACCTTTGTCTCTTTTCCAATTTCTGGCTCTGCTCTTGATAGGAAAATAAGGGGTGGAAGGAAACAGCAAACATACTTAGGGTGGTATTCAGCTATAAATTTGACTACAAGGGAATTTTTTTTGCTGAACACACTAAGTATACCAAATTTCATCCATCTTGCACATTAAGCTTTTCTCGGTTTAAGGCTAAAAATGGATGAAATCAAACCCAGGACTTATTCCTGAGATCTGCAGAGGAAATCTACAAATATAGCCCCTTCTCTGCCCATGCTGTGAATGAAAATAAAATCCCTCCTTGAGGGGTACAGCTTCCACCATCTTTTAGAATCCATAAACTTGTCAAGAAAAAGGATGGCACAGACAGATCTTCACAACCACATCTCCAACTCCACTCATCTTTCAGCCCATCCCTCTCCCCTTGCAGTCTAGAAGACAATGATGCCATGAAAGCAGATGTCTATATGCGGTCTGAAAGCCTCCCTACACAGAGAAAAGAGCTCCTACTCCACTGCGGACAGCCCAGCTGGAATCACGAGGGAGCGTTTGCCACTACGCATCCTCTCCAGCAAGTCACTAATCACACCTGAGATGTACGGTGATTTTCTTTAACACTGGTGGCAATATGGACCACGACCACACAGATTCAATGCTTCGTGCCTGTTGCCAGACCTGAAGATGAAGCTGCCGGTTATTCTTGCAGTATGTGTAAACACAGGCAGTTGCTTCTGTTATGCTTTCAGACCTTTTGGCTCCTGTAGATTGAACACACTACTGCAACACAGTCTCCAACATCAATACAGAGACTGAAAGCTAAAAGTAAAAAGCTAATAGTATCTTATGTACTTCTGAAGTTTCCTCTGCCTCTTTCATGTAATTCCTTTAGCCTTTTAAAACATATTTGAATTTATTTGATTTTCACATTTTCTCCCTCTGTTCCTTTAATGAAAAGAATTAATTTCTGTACCTTTGAAGAGAGCCCTCTGCTTTCCCATAATGCAAGAGGCTATTTTTTCTTCAAAATGGAAGTCATAAAAAATGGGAGTCATAATTTTCAAGCCTGAATCTCAGTAACGTGCACAAATACTGGATCTAGAAAATCAAGTAGGTGCTTGAAACCAGAAAATGGAAAAGCATGTTTGAACAGAAATGCAGAATTTGCATACCGAACTGTGAACAACATACCTCTTCACCCAACCCAGATTTTTTTTTTTTTTGTAGTATTCATATTTCTTTAAGTACACATTTTTGCAAACTACATTATATCGCTTCCATCTACTCTACAGAAATACACCATTA